TATTCCATGTCACCTATAGACCAGGCTCTAAGAATGTTAAACCCGATGCCTTGTCTCGAATGTTCGATGATCCTAAGAATCCTCCCATTCCTGGCACAGCTTTCAGCAGAAACTTCTGTCTTTTACACACAGACCTTTTAGCACAAGTTCAGCAGGCATTGTTTGGGGGCTCTCTCTGTCCACCAAGGGTGGCCTTATCCGGTAGAGAGGGCTTACTGTGGTCCAGGGACAGAATCTTTACACCAAAAAGTGTTTCGATTAGCAGTTTTGGGACTGTGTCATGATCATCCCCTGGCAGGACATTTTGGGGTCTACAAAACTTCAGACCTGGTGCAGCGCCTGTTCTGGTGGCCTGAGTGGGAGAAGGATTGCAAGGCATATGTGAATTCCTGCCCTACATGTATAATGTAACAAAGCAATTAAAATCAAGACCTAGGGGGTTACTGAGGCCCCCTACCAGTCCCCGATCGACCTTGGAAAATGATTTCAATAGATTTAATTGTAGAACATACCACCATCAGAAGGATGTTCAGCCATTTTTGTTGTGGTGGACCGATTTTCCAAAATGGCCCATTTTATTCCCATGACGGGGGTACCCTCTGCAACAGAAACTGCCTAAATCTTCATAAAGTAAGTGGTGAGACTCCATGGTGTTCCTGGGAATATTGTCTCTGATCGAGAAGAGTAATTCACTTCAAAATTCTGGAAGGCACTTTTGTAGAAAACTAAAAAGTGGAACTTTAATTTTCTCCTGCTTATGCTCAGACTAATGGGCAAATGGAAAGAACCAATCAGACTTTGGAACAGTATATCCGCTGCTTCACGTCATTCTCCCAAGTCGACTGGGTGTCACTATTACCCCTGGCCGAGTTTGCAGACAACAACTCAAAGGACTCGGCCACGAAACAGTCTCTCTTCTTTTCAAATTATGGATTTCATCCTTTGTTTCTATCTAATGTGGTTCCTGGAATCATCTATTCTGGCTGTGCAAAACACTTTTGAATTCCTTCAGCAGAACAACAAGGTGCTACAGGAGACAATCTCAGAAGCTCAGCAGGACAAGAGGTTCTTTGATAGGAAAATGAAGGGGGAACTTGATTCTGGAACCCGATGAGGAAGTATGGTTGTCCACAACAAATTTAAAATTGACATGTCCCACGAAGAAACTTGGTCCCAAGTTCGTGGGACCCTTCCCAGTGAAAAGGAAAAATCAATAACGTATCATATGAACTTACATTGCCAGATTCACTAAAGATTCACCCTGTATTACATGTGTCATTGCTTAAACCTTCAGTCTCTAACCCTTTTCCTGACCGGAAGTTGGGGCCACTGGAATCGGTAATTGCCAATGGCGAAGAAGAATATGAGGTAGAGACAATTACTGATTGCAGAAAAGAGGAGAATCCAATATTTAATTAAATGGAAAGGATATGGACCTGAAGATAATTTGTTGGTACCAGAGTCCAAAATCCATGCTAAAAACATAATCCTGGCTTTCAGACACAAGTATCCTGAGAAACTGGCCGAGCTGGGCATCCAGAGGCTGCCCATAGGGAGGGGGCACTGTCAGGGAAAAGAGAAATTGCCTGGGCGCACATCTATGCGCCAATGCCAGGTGCCCGCTGGCCGTGCCCGTGTCGTGCGCGCTGGTGTGCACGCTTGCTTGCCACCGAAACTGGCGCCAGGCAGGCTATTTAAACCTCTGCTGCAGTAGAGTCCTTGCCTTTCTGGTCTACCACGTTGTGTTTCCTTGCTGCCATTGTAAGCTGATCCTGTTGCCAACATGAACTGTAATGACTACGCTTGAACTCTGCCTGCATCAACCCAGCTTCTCCTTTGACTATCTGCTTGCCTGCTCCCTGTACCTGATCCGCCCAATTGATCCTGGCCCGGTTTTTCTGACTCTGCTACTTCTCCAGCCTGTCACTATCACTTGCTACCAGCCGTCTGCAGTTGCCTGCTAATACCTTCCAGCCGCTGCTCCCGCTCACCTGCATCCGCAACTGACCTGCATTCTGATTGTCTGGGCTATCCACCAACCGTCAACTGTCACCACAGACCTGCCAGGCACTTGTGCCCCTCCTGGATTTGTGCCTTCTGTTTGCTCTATCAGGGGCACTGAGCAGGAGTAAGAGGACGCCCTCATCTCCACATTAGGCTCCCCCACCAGGTACGTGACAGCTGCAACCCCTAAGTGCTAACCACCAAGCCACTGTAACAGAAAGAGTTTGAGATGGAATGTAGAATAGTAACGATTAAAGAGATTGAAGATATATTTTATATTTTACATTTCATGCCCAGCATTAGAAGTTTATGCCACACATCACTCACTCTTCTAACCACCTGAAGATCAAGCATTTTCTGACACTTTTTGTTCCCATGAAAAAAAATCTGTATTTTTTTTTCCAGAAAATTACATTGAACCCCCAAAAATTATAAATAGTGAATAAAATGGTGAGTGCTGCAATTTTTTTATGTCACATAGTACTCGCGCAACTATTTTTTCAAATGCAATTTTTTGCAAAAAATACACTTTTTTTTTTTTACTTTTAATGCACAAAAACACAATATATTGGCCAATTATTTGGTAAATACATTTTTAATATCCATAGGCAACACTTTAGAAGCCTTTTACAAGCTACCATTTTAGATTTACAGAGGAGGTCTAGTGTTAGAATTACTGCCCTTGATCTGACGTTAGCTGCGATACCTCACATGCAGGTGGACGTGCGTGGGGGGGGCAAGAGTGCTTTTTTATTTTTTTTTTATTTATTTTTTTTATTTTTTTAAGCCATTTTGATTTTTTTCATTATTTTTACACTGTCCCTTTGCACTGTACTAATGACACTGGGCAGGAATGGGTTAATATGAGGGGAAATCAAAGGGTTAACTGTGTGATGGGAGTGTTTTACTAGGGGGCTGGGGGGGTGTGTGCTTCACTGTAAAGAACACTGATCGGGATGGGTGTGCTCAGCCATCTCGAGCAGTGTGCCCAAACTGACAGGGAGGAGGGCTTTTGGTAAACAATGCAGCTCCTCCTGTCGGTAATAACATCCGGGCGGGACCCGGTGATTGACACCGGCGTGGGTAGGGTGGTCGCACACCCTCTACCTGAAAATGCGAAATCACGTGTATATATACGTGATTTTACACATAGGGCCCACCTAACAGTAAATGTACTGTGGGCGGGCCCTAAGCGGTTAGAAAACGTGCAGTTAAAAAAATCATTACGAGTCCTAAATTTAGGCCACAAAATGTATTCTGCTCCATGTCTTTTGCTAAAAAAAAAAAATCCCAAAACGTGTAAATTAATTGGTTTACATGAAAGTTATAGAGCTTACAAATGGCGGTATAGGTACTGGGAATTTTTTTTTTTACTAGTAATGGTGACAATTGCGGGACTGCGGTGGACATTCTGACACTGGGGAGGAACTGACTTGGTGTCACTGACATCCCCAATGGACACCAATACAGAGATCAGTGCTGAAAAAAAAAAAAGCACTGACACTGTTACTAATGGCACTGGGCAGGAAGGGGTTAATATGAGGGGCCAATCAAAGGGGAGTGTTTTACTAGGGGGGGCGGTGTCTGTGTTCTTCACTGTAAGCACAATGCATCTGGATGGCTGTGCTGTGCAGTGTGACCGAGCTGAATGGGAGGAAGACTTTTAGTAAAACCAAACAGTCTTCCTCCCCGTAGGAGATGCTCGGTGATCAACGGGCGCCGGCAGGGTAACTACCGGCCGGGGACCCGGTGATTGACAGCCGCAGCCCGCTAAAGGTGGTGTGGGTAGGGCACGCCAGCCCCCCTACCTGGAAATACAAAATCATGTATATATATATATATGTGATTTGCGCACCCCTGCCACCCTGTAGCAGCTCCGGCCAATTGCTTACACCAGACTGGCAACTGGCAGGCAATTGGGCGGAATAGCGGTGATGTCATTTCCCTAGCCCTCCGCCCAATTGTTCACGTCTTCTGACTCGCAAATGTCAGATTGCAGCGAGTGCTCTGGTTGGCGGGGAGGGTGGCGGTTTTTTCGGGGGTCGTTGTTGACAATGCTGGACACCGTTTGATTCACAATGGATTACAACGCTGGAAACAGTTTCTTTTTGGCTTTATTACATTTTTAAATAAAGGACTTGTTTTTTTGTTTTTTTTTTTCCAATAAAGGATTTTTTCAAAAAAGTCTGGTTCTCTTTATTTTTTTCACAATTTTAACCCTTTACTGAATGGGTAGAGGTACAAAAAGTACCCCTTATTCAAAAAGGGGGGGGGGGTGGCAGCCGCATCAGGGTGTCTCCTTATTTAAGGGATACGCTAATGCTAATGAGACCACCTGCCCGCTTACCCCCACAACCACCGGGCAATGGTTGTGGGGAAGACGCCCTTGTCCCTATCGGCATCGGGGGACACAGTCTGGCAGCACTGTTAAGAGCGCAGGGAGGGGGAAGCGCTTTGTACACCCCCCCCCCAACACTTTCCTGCCTTCCCAAGCCTGTGCTTGGAATATCAGGGCCTGGTAGGGCTTTTAGGGGGAACATACTTTTTAATATATTGCTTTTATTGTGGAGTCCCTCCTAACCTTTCTGTCAGACCTACAAAGGGCAGGACCTCTTACAGCGTCTGGCCCATGCAACTGTTATTGCTAGGGTGGGCAGTATGTTAAATTAATATAATTAAGAATGAGCGAATTATTCAAAAAATTTTGATTCGGCTGATTCGCCGAATTCGCGGAATAAATTTGATTCGATGCGAATATATTCCCCTGCGAATTTTAAATTATAAAAAGGGGGTTTCTAGGCTTCAGAGAGCCTTTTTTATTTGTTTCAGAACACTGTACCTTTAATTTAAATGCCTTGGAGTCTGCTGGGGAAGAGAAATAATACTGTCAGTCAGTAAAGGGCATGCGATGAGTGCCCTCGTCTTAGAATCACCGCACAAATTCACTCATTGGGCAGTCCGGGGGAAAACCAGAGTGGGACCCCCATGTGGCGGTGGG